ATTCGTATTGACATCATTCTATTATTTTTGAGATTATATCCCATTACAGCTTTTCCCACTCTTTTGTTGACTTTGATGGCTATTCCATTCCTTCTACGGGATTATTGCCCACAATAGTAGATATGATAATCATCTGAGTTGAATTCACCCATTCCTGTCCATTTTAAATCCGCTCATCTAGAAGAAGTGTGTTGAATGTCAGCTCTCTTCTATTTTGGTTAGTTGAAGAACAGGCCCAGCAGCTGTGAATGGTGTCTTAGCTGAGCCAACCCAGTGCTGCCTGTTCCTACATCCCTGAAGTTCTGCCACATAAAATAAGTCTTTCTTTCTATTATGCGTAGAGTCACAGGAAGCAAATCTAGCTCCAGGGCTCGCCAGGGCTTCTGAACTCAATGCACTCAAAATAGAATGGACTGTCAAAGGATGTTGGTGTCTTCCAGCGTCATATCCTTTTGTTTCTGATCATGGGGCATTCTTGGCAAAGATACTGGAGTGGCATTGCCATTTCCTACCCCAGGTGGATTGCGTTTAGTCGGAACTCTCCACTATGTCCTGTCCATCTTGGGTGTCCATGCACAGCATAGCCCATAGCTTCTCTGAGTTCATCAAGACCCTTCGCCACGACAAGGCAGAAATCCATGAAGGAGGATTCTTTTGTACCTCTCTTCTAATTGAGAAAGAATTTTGTACAACTCAAGGAAGCCAGAGAGTCAACCAAAATGCTGCCAAAATCTTAAGAAGTGAAGATTTTTTAGGGGGGTTGTCCTGGATCAGGAGGGATTGGGCTAATGATGCCCATATTTCTTTAGTTTGTAAGATATATTCTGCATCTGTTTAGAAGGTCCTCCCCTCTATTCTTTAATTTTCATTCTTTTGTATCTCTTCTGATTGAGAAAGAATTTTGTACAAATCAAGGAAGCCAGAGAGTCAACCAAAATGATGCCAAAATCTTAAGAAGTGAAGATCTTTTAGGGGGGTTGTCCTGGATCAGGAGGAATTGGGCTAATGATGCCCATATTTAACAGCAAAGGATATATCTTTATGATGTGATTTCTATTGGATTTGAAGTTTACGGTACTGTGTGCAGCATTCAGGGTTTTGAGAACTTCAACTCCTGTTGTATTTTTGTTTTAGGACACCAGTCCATGTAGCTGCCAAGTCGTGTTTAAAAGTGTATAGCCAAAGGTTACTGCAATTTCCAAAGCCCAGATGGTGGTCACAGCTGAAAAACATTTCTAGTAGTTTGAAGTGGTTTATGATATCCTTTGTGACTCTTTGCCCTTCCCTAAGTGGGAAAGTTAATATATTTATGCAAAATGGGAAGACATACAAAAAAGGTTCAGATTATTAGAGGGGAAGTTACAGAATTCAAAGTGCTTTGCACTGGAATTTTCAAAACATTTTACATACTCTTGTGCTATTACTATGTACAGTACTGATTTTAAATCTGGACAGTAAAGAAAACTGATGGGGGGGAATTCATATGAAATACAGTGTTGGAGGAAATCTTTGAATGCAAAAATGACTCAGTTGAGACTGTCATGTTCTGGACATACGTATTATGAGAAGGCAGGATTTACTAAATGAAAACACTGTTGGGAAAAGGTGAAAGTTGCAGGAAAAGAGGAAGGCCAAATATGGAATGGCTTGGTTTAATATAGGAAGGCACAGCCTTGAGTTTGCAAGGCCTGAGCAAAGCTGGTGTTGCTAAGGGTTTTGGCAGGTCACTAATTCATTGGACTCCCATGTTAGAAGTGACTTAATCGCATATAACAACACACCCTGCATAGAGCTTACTGACTAGCTATGCCAATAATATCTTTCTCCTATTTTCTCTAACTTCTGCAGCATGTTGTTACATGTTTTGTTTTATGATTCCCATCACCTTCAATCACTGGCCATACTGGATGGCGATGTTGAGAGCCATAGTCTAACAAATTTGGAAAGAGCAAGTTGGGGGAGATTCCTCTGAAGAATGTGTAGAGAACATTAATGTGTAGGGAATTTCTGGATTAGTGAGAGGCTTAGGATGGCTTGAACTCTTTTGATATCATTCTTCCTTCTATTTTTAGGTGTCTCAGCCCCAGTTTCCTCCCATCGTACTTCAAGGCCATTTGCAAGAAGTCACCTCTGTTGCCTGGTGCCCTTCTGATTTCTCTAAGGTTTGCTTCTGAATTCTTCTGTGTCTTTTCTTTGGAAGCCTCTAGAGCTCCACAGTGAAAGCCAAAATGTCCCTTTTCTTCCAAAGTGTGAGTAGCTGCTGTTCCTCAAGAATACGGGCTATAATAGTTAGACATTATCTTGCTAACCTGTCATAGCCTAGAGTCATGAATGGCTGAGTCTCATTGAAGTCAACAGCTCAGAGTAGACATGCATGGGATTGGGCTTTAATTCTTCACAAATTACTGGGGTGTATAGATGGTTGCTTTGCATAAACAACATGTAACAAGAAATCTAGTGGAGAATTGGATTTACCAAACAACAGAAATCTTCAGCAGCCAGAGCACTGAGAAACTCCATGGGAATTGAAAACTTTTGCTGATCTATTGTCAGTCCTGATAAACCAGCAGTATGCTCCTCACTGTACTTATTGCTCATCCCTTGTGCTATGAATGTTCTCTTTTAAGTATCCCCACCATCAGGAGTGGAGTAAGTGCCAAGTAAGAAGAAGGATTTTTCCATTATGGATCACAATTTGTGGATCTTTCCTTGTGCAGTGGCTCACACAGCATATAAACTATTCTCTTTGGACTTTCTTTTTTAAATAGCGTATGCAGGTTCTTTAATCTGATTTTATGCTGCTTTTACCTTTTTTTTTTTCATGGACCAAGGTGTTTTTAGTTTAATAACTGTTAAAACAATAAAACATAGCAATAATTTATAATAATATTGTATTAAAGGCCTGTTAGTGTTCCATTTTTGCCTTAAAGCAAAAAGCAGAGCAAAACATAAACTAAAAGCATAATCAATAAAAGTTGCAGGAAACATAAAATCATCTCAGTCAGATATAAGCACCAGACGTTACAAGCCGAAGACAAATTTTTATAATTGGATTTTTTCCCTCTTTTTAATCCTGTAGACCATTCTGAAAATTTGTGTTGATAATGTATCTTTTTTGACTCATATTTTTGTCAGGCTCTCCTCTCAAACCATGAAATATTTCTTCCTTTAAAAATCTGTTAATAACAAGTGAGTGGGAAGTTTTCAGTACAGGAGGGGGAGCCTGTTGCATGCAAACTCTTTCCAACTCTTCATTCCTTCACTCCCCAAATAATCATTATATTCAAAGAAGTGCAGTATTTCTCTGTTGACTTTTTCCTTCTGTTTTCCAGATTTCCACATGTTCAGATGACAACACTGTCAAGATTTGGCGTTTAAGACGGCACGCCAGTCAAGAGAACTGGCCAGACAAAAGTAGCATGGTGGGTTGGACTCGCCAAAAGAAAGTGGCAGAACAAAAGGAAATAGGTAAGACCCCAGAATCTTTGAGTGGTTTTGTTGGTTCTTTGTGGTTGTTTTTCAAAATTGGGTCTTGGCAACTTTTTAAATAAAGTCTTAAAATAGAAACCAGTCCTAAACTGGTTTTAGCAACAGTTATATGAAGCTGACAGCTTGTATGTGTATAATTATGATGATGATATCTCAATATAAGTGAGGCAGTAGGTTGAATGTGGAAAAGCAATGCAGAAACATGGCAAGAGTGCTGTTTACTGTGCGCCACCCAGAAACAGCCTGGTAAAGCCCGATCTTCACATACATTTTTTAAGAAATATAAGCAGACACATGGGGGATTTCTCTGCAAAGAGAAATCAGTCAGTGGTGGTCTGGTTACTGCAAACTGGCCAGCAAAAGCCTGTTCCATCAGGTGGTATGCCTTGACTGTTTACAAAAATAGATGACAGCATAAGGTGCTCATGCGAAAGTACAGAGAGAGCAACCAGAATTCTCAAGTGACTGGAGGACTTCTATAAGGAGAACATTGAGGCCGGGATCATGTAAGGAATGGAAGATGACTGTAAAATCATTAATGAAGGGTAAGAGTAGATAGAGGGTAGTTTTAACTGATGAGCAGTAAGTTGAAGAAGTACAGTGGAAGAAAAATGGGTGTAACACAGAGGCTATTGCCTTGGGAGATTTTCAAAAATGCTGGAGTAATACAGAAGGTGTTTACTGGTGGGTGTTCACCATTATTCCTCATGGAACCTAATGTAGGGAAACAGTCTGTCTCTGAACGCTGGGGTCAAAATGTTGATGAGGCAGTTGTGGAGTAAATAAGGCTGTACTTAGACTAAAGAGATTCATCTAGACCACTAGTTCCCAACCTTGGGTCCCCAGATGTTCTTGGATTACAACTTCCAGAAATCCTGGCCAGTCACAGCTAGTGGTGAAGGCTTCTGGAAGTTTTAGTCTTAAGAACATCTGGGGACCCAGGGCTGTTCTTTGACTGCAACTCCCAGAAGTATTCGCCACTAGCTGTGCTGTGCTGGCGGGAGTTGTAGTCCAAGAACACCTGGGCTTTACAAGGTTAGGAACCATTGGTCGAGACCATACATGTTGGGAACAAGATGCTGGACTAGATGGGCACCATGATCCAGCTGAACTGTTCTGAGAGGTTTTCTTTGGGGGAGGGAGGGAGGGCTCCTTGCCTCTTATCAAACACCACTGTAGACCGAAAGCTTCTATAGTCACACAAAATATGAACTGCCCTCTAAACTTGAGATGTCAAGGTATCTCTGTCTTTCTCAGCCAGTGGAAGGAACACTGTGAGCAGGATGGATTTTCCCTTTTCCATTGCATGTCCTTCAGTCCTGCTTCAGAGGGATGGATAGCCTCCTGCCGCAGGGTTGGAGTGTGCTGCATGGGCAAAAAGAGGAAAAAGAAAGGCCCAGTACATTATCAAACATCAGCGCTCGCAGTGCTGGATAGAGCCCAGAACGAGCTGACTTAGGTCTTTGTCTCAGCTTGTATGCACAAACGAGGGTCGAAGGGAAGCACCTGCTCTGTAGGAAAGAGAATGCTTGGCTTTATGTAAACAAAACTGGAATTACATGTTGCTGAATTGAAAATAAAAGTGCCCTTCAGGGTATTAAGTTACCTACGAGGCTAGTTAAAGAGCGCCTAAAATTTCACATGCTTCATACTGTGAAAAGCAACTATTGGCTAGTTAAAGAGCGCCTAAAATTTCACATGCTTCATACTGTGAAATCCCAAGCAACTATTAAGTAGCAACAGCAATAGCTGTATGTGCATGTTAATTCTTAGAGTGTTCTTACCCAGCTATGCTGTCTTTGTAGAGAACCGGCTACGTGTGTTATTACTGTTCTAGAACTACATGAGGACAAGCAATGTGAATGTCAAATACAGTTTCCTGCTTCAGACGGTGTTATGTAATAATAGTAAAGCCATCTTTCTCTAATTCCTTTTCCATCTTTATGTAAATCCTCTAGGTAGGGCATGCAAATGGAGAAATATGAATTCTAGCTATACAGTACAGCCTTCTTTTTCTCTCCCTCCCCAGTCAACTCCCCTTTCCTTAGATCTTCAGGGCTTTTTCACAACTTTTGGCTGTGTCCTGACTATCCTTGGTTTCTAATTCTATCCAAAATCTTGCCTTAATGTAATTATGAGGAAAATCCTAGCAATAAACCTGCAAGACAGTGGAGCCCAATTACAAGGTACTTACTGTATTTTTCGCTCCATAAGACGCACCTCTCCATAAGACGCTCCAAATTTTTAGGAGAAGAAAACAGGAAAATAATAATCTGTTTTCTTCTCCTACAAATTTGGTGAGCCTTATGGAGAGGTCCGTCTTATGGAACACACCCTAGGACCCTTTGGAGGTTCACCCAGCCCCCCTGGGGGCCAGAGGGGGCGAAATCACCACCTTCAGGGATTCTTCTGAAGCTTCCCAAGCCTCAAAAGAGTTCCGGAAGCTGGCGATTTTGCCCCCACTGGCCCCATGGGGGGAGCCTCACAAGGGTCCGAGTGAGCCTTCCAGGACCCTTGCAAGGCTCCTCCCACCCCCACAGAGCTAGCGGGGGAGAAATCGTAACTTTCCAGGACCTTTTCTGAGCCTTTCAAGCCTCAGAAAAGGTCCTGGAAGCTTTGGAGGCTCACCCTGTCCCCCGCGGGGCCAGAGGGAAGGCGAAATCACCACCTTCTGCGACTCTTTTTAGGCTTGGGAAGCTTCAGAAGAGTTCCTGAAGGTGGTGATTTAGCCCCCTCTGGCCCCCAGGGGGGCAGGGTGAGCCTCCAAAGGGTCCTAGGGTGTGTTCCATAAGATGGACCTCTCCATAAGGCTCACCAATTTTTAGAAGAAAACAGATTATTTTTTCCTGTTTTCTTCTCCTAAAAATTTGGTGCGTCTTATGGAGAGAAAAATACAGTAAGTACCTTGTAATTGGGCTCCACTGTCTTGCAGGTTTCTTGCTAGGAT